TTACCCTGTGTATATTCCTCTCCTTCAAATGTGTTTCTTGTAAATGGCGTATTGTAGGATTATGATTTTTAATCCATTCTGCTATATGCTTCCATTTTATGGGAGAGTCCATCCCATTCACATTCACAGTTATGATTACTATCTGTGTCTTTGTCTCCATCCTATTCTCCCCCCATTTATGCTTTTCTCTCTCCTTTCTCCCTTTCCCACCTGACTAGTGTTTTGCTTTTGACCATCACCTCCCTCTGTCTGCCCTCCCTTCTATCAGCCCCCTCCTTTTGTTTCCTCTTTACCCTTACTAATTCTGCCCTCCTTTCTATGCACCTCCTCCCTTCTCTTTCCCCTCCTGATTCCTATAGGGTATGTTAGATTTCTATACCTGATACTTTTATTTCCTCTTTGAGCCCAATTTGATGAGAATAAGGTTCAAACAATGCTCATCTCCCTCCCTTCTTTCCTTCTACTGTAATAGTTCTTTGTGCCTCTTCTTGTGATGCAATTTACCCTTTTCTGCCTCCTCCTTTCCTCTTCTCCTAATAAAATCCCTTTCCACCACTTGGATTTTTTATCATCACGTCAAAGTCAACTTATACCCATGCCATCTATGTGTGCCCCTTGTAAATGTCATAATAAAGATACAGTTCTCAAGAGTTACAAGTATCATTTTTCCTTATAGGGATGTAAACAGTTTGCCCTTATTGAATAACATATTATTTTCTTTCCTATTTACTTTTTTATGCCCCTCTTGAGCCTTGTACTTGAAGATCAAATTTTCTGTTGAGCTCTGGTCTTTTCATCAGGAAGGTTTGCAAGTCCCCTATTTCATTGAATGTCCATCCCCTCCCCTGAAAGATTATGCTTAATTTCACTGGGTAGTTGATCCTTGATTTTGTCCAAGCTCCTTTGCCTTATGGAATATCACATTCCAGGCCCTCTGATCTTCTAATGTGGAAGCTGCAATGTACTATGTAATCCTGACTGTGGTTTCTTAATATTTAAATTATTTCTTTCTAGCTGCTTACAGTATTTTCTCTTTGACCTGATTTGGAATTTGGCTACAATATTCCTTGGTGTTTTCAATTTGGGATCTCTTTCAGGAGGTGATCGGTAGATTCTTTCAATGATTATTTTACCCTCTGGTTCTAGGACCTCAGAGCAGTTTTCCATGATGATTTCTTGAAAATTGCTATCCAGGCTCTTTTTTTCATCATGGCTTTCAGGTAGACCAATAGTTTTTAAATTATCTCTGCTAGATCTGTTTTCCAGGTCTGTTGTTTTTCCATCGAGGTATTTTTTTCTTCCTTCTATTTTTTTCATTTTTTTAAATTTTGTTTGACCGATTCTTGTTGTCTCACAGAGTCATTAGCTTCTACTTGCTCAGTTCTAATTTTTAACAAATTGTTTTCTTCAATTAGATTTTATCCTTTTCCTTTTGGCTCATTTTACCTTTTAAGGAGTTTTTTTTTTCAGTATACTTTTTTTTTTTCCATTTGGCCAATTGTGTTTTTTTATTTTATTTTATTTTTCTTTTCTTTTCTTTCTTTCTTTTTTTATTGGCTAGGCAATGGGGTTAAGTGACTTGCCCAAGGTCACACAGCTAGTAAGTGTTATATGTCTGAGGCCAGATTTGAACTCAGGTCCTCCTAACTCCAGGGCCAGTGTTCAGTGTTCGGTGTTCTAAACACTGCGTCACCTAGCTGCCTCCCAATTGTATTTTTTAAGGACTCATTTTCTACAGTCAGTTTTTGTCCTTCTTTTCCCAATCTATTGACTCTGTTATACATACCTCTCATTTCTTTTCCCAAATTTTCTTTTACCTCTTTTATTTGACTGTTAAAATCCATCTTGAGCTCTTCCAAGGAGGTTTTTTTGGGCTTGAGAACAGTTCATATTCCCCTTTGAGGTTTCAGATGGGGGTATATTGACAATGTTGTCCTTTTCTGAATTTGTGCTTTGATCTTCCCTGTCCCCATAGGGTCATTGTCTGTTTCTGCTTTTTGCTCATGGTGTTTGCCTATTTCCTGACTTTTTAAGTTGAGATCTTCTGGAGCATAAGAGGCACTGACCCTAGCTTCTCATGCTGGGGGCCAGGAACCTGGTCACTGGTTTAGTGTGCTGGGGTCTCAGGTGTTGACAGTTGGAGGCTGTTGGGGTCTCAAATTTACCTGGTGTTGAGCTGGGGTCAGCAACACTGAAGCTGTTGACGGCGGTGGAATGGGTGGAGGGGATCAGGCCCATGGAGGACACCAGATCACCCAGGCTGCTTTGAAGCACCGGAAGGTTTGGCTGCTGGAGAACGTCTGCCCACCTGGAATTATGCCTCCTGGCGTTGTGCTTCCTGGAGTTGTTCTGAAGGACTGGGAGGATGGAGGGTGCTGGAGAATGCCTGCCTCCTGCCACATGTGGTGGTTTTCCAAGCTGGAGTCTACTGGTTCCCCTACGTGTGGCAAGGACTTGGGGTAGAGGGAAGGTGGTCTTGGTGTTGGTGCTTGCCTGCTCCACCCTGGGGTTCAGGAACTTCCCCCGGTTTGCTAAGGTGGGGCTTGCTTCTGGCTTGCTGGGGTGCCACCCATCCTGTACTTCTCCTCTTCCACCAGAGCAAGAGGGACCTTTCCTGTTGGCCCCCAAGCTTCCTGGGCTATAAGACTGCTGCACCCCATCTTTCTGCTGCCTCAGCTATTCCAGGGTTTTTCCTAGGATGATATTTTCTGGGTTTTTAGAGGTCAGTAAGGGAGGTTGGGAGCAACGTACTTCTTACTCCACCATCTTGGCTCCCAGAAGTCAATTGGAAATGAAATCTTTATCAAAGAAACTTCTTTTGAGATTTTTTTTTTCTGGGTTACCTGCTTTCCTTCAAATTTTAGCCACATAGGGTTTTATTTATGTAAAACTTTTTAGTCTTATGTAGTTAAAATTGTCTTTAAGTTACTTGAGTAAAATTTCCCACATACTTAGGAGGCTAGTGCAAAGCCCATTCTGTGTAGGGCACCTTATGTTTAGTATTATAGCAACTTACTTGAAGATTTTCATTCTGCTCTTGGATCTGGTCTGTATAGAGCAGTGGTCTCCAAAGTGAGGACCAATAATTATGTGTTAGTATGATCGTATTTATGTAGGGGAAGGGGATAAATATTTTTATAGCGCCTAGCACCTATATCTGCAAGGCACTGTGCTAAATGCTTATTATAAATATTGCTTTGTTCAATAAATAAGAAAATACCTTTCAAGATTTATTACCTATAATTCCTCTTCACACACATTTTGGCCTAGCCAAACTGGCCTTCTTGAGGAGGGTACTGGCAAGTGGACAAAGATTAGGAAAAGCTTCATGTAAGATAGTGCTTGAGCTAAGCCTTGGATGAATTAAAGGATAGAAAGAAAGGGAGGTGAGAAGGGAATGCATTCCATGAAAGGTAGATTGAGAGAATAAACATGTAGAGGACAGACATCAGATTTTCAGATGGCATGAAGTTAATTAAATAAACATGACAATTAGAATCCAAAAGATGCTGGCAGGCTGGGCTGAGGTGAGTTAGATAAAATTAAAGAGCAGTAAATGTAAAGTCCTGCCTTATCATTCAAAATATCAATCTCACAAGTACAAGGTATTAGGAAATATTGCTAGCTTGTAGTTATTGTGGAAAATACCTGGAATTGTAGTAGATTCTAAATTCAATTTCAGTCAGCAATGTCAGAGAAAACAGAAAGGTTAATATGATCTCTGACTTCATTAGTAGAAGCATCATGGCCACAAGAAGGGAAGTGATATACATAGATATATGTTCAGTCATTTTTCAGTTATGTCTGGTTCTTCGTGACCCCATTTGGGGTTTTCTTGGCAAAGATAATAGAGTAGTTTGTCATTTCCTTCTCCAGCTCTTTTTACAGATGAGGAAACTGAGGCAAACAGGGTTAAGTGATTTGCCCAGGGTCATATAGCTAGTAAGTATCTGAGCCTGGATTTGAACTCAGGTCCTCCTGACTCCAAGATCAACACTCTGTCCACTATGTCACGTAGCTTTCCCATACATAGATAAATATATATATATATATATGTATACAACTACATATATGAATATATAGTTATATAACTACATATATAAAATTATATAAATATACTATAAAATATATATAAATATACTATAAAATATATATAAAGCATTAGTGCTTTATATAAAATATATAAAAATTGTTATATATAACTACATAGTTATATGCGTATATAGTATATATGAAACTATACATACATGTAAAATAATATGACTTTTATGTACATATAGTTTTATATATAACTAATTAAAATATAGTTATATATAATATATAATATATATATATTAAAATATAGTTATATATAAGCTATACATATATAACTATGTAAGTATATAACATACTAATATACATATATGTTATGTTTCAGATATGTAGTTATATGTACGTAACTATATAGTTATATACATATAAGTATATGTGAACTATGTTATATGATATGATTTCTGATTTCATTAATAGAAGTCATATATGTGTGTGTATATATGTATATGTGGATATATGTATATGTGTGTATATGTGTGTGTGTGTGGCCATGGTGCTTTACATGATACCTTTATGAAGTCACTGATCATATCTTGTTGCTCTGACATGCTCATATATATACACACATGTATATACATATAAACATATATATATGATATATATAACCTTTATAATTTTATATGTAATTATGTAGCTTTATAGATGTGATTATATATAACTGCAGTACATGTATATATGAATATCACTTCGTTCCTTGTGGTCATCACGATTCTATCAAGTCAAAGATCATATATTATACATTTCTCAGTGTGTGTGCACATATTTATATACATATGTAATATATTATATATGTTTGTGTATGTATAAACAAACACACATATATCAGACATCTAAAGTACTGTGTCCAATTCTGGTCTTTAGAAAGACCATTGCCAACCTACAGTACATCTAGATCAAGGCTACCCCAAACAATGAGAGAACCAGAAATCACAGAGGACAGGACCATCATTGAGAATAAACAAGAAAGAGGAATTTTACCATCAAGTTTTGCCTGGGTCAGAGTTTGCAGTGAAAGTGCCTGCCTTCTGCCAGACTTGGTCTCTGTTTGCCACATTTCCCCTATGACTCTGGTTCTAGTAGAAGGTGCGACACTCCCTACCCCCATCCCACACCATCCTAACTAGTTCCGGCTTCGGGGTGAGGTTCCAGACGCGGCCGATCTGAATTCTAAGGCACTCAGCCGGCGGTTACCTTCCCAGAGATGCGATGCCCTCAACCTCTGGGTTGCCAGGGTTACAGACGACGTTATGCTTTATCCAGCTCTATATCGGAAAGCTTTTTTGTAGTCTGGAGAGAGGAATAGGGTCGAGACTGATACAGAGGGACCTTTTGGTGCCATCATGATGAAGTTTTTTGGGTCCATAAAAAAGAAAGTACAGTTGTCCTCTTCGCCTTCTTTCGACCAAAGTGAGAGCAGCAGCAGCATCAAGGGTGCAGAGAGTAGCAGCTCCATCCTCACTCCCCCAAACGCCCAAGGGTATTGCATCCGGTGTAAGGACCTGGGCAAACTTCACAAAGCTGCGTCTGCTGGGGACCTGGAGAAGGTGCAGCATCATCTGCAGTACAAGAAACACGACCTGGACAAGCGGGATAAAGAACATAGGTGATACACAGGAACCGAAGGCTTGGTTAGAGTGCTGGTGTTGTGAGGGTTGGGGGGAGGGTAGAGGAGGGAAAGGGGAAGAGACCAGCATTGCTCACATCACTTTTCCTGGTAAGGGGGCACAGAGAATACTTATCTATAATTCTGAACATCTCTCCTTGGTATCCTATTCTGTATGGTGTCCAAGTGAGGGAGTTCAAATAAAATCAAATGAAATAAAAGATTAAAATAACAAGATAATAATGTGTGAAGTGCTTTGCAAATATTAAAGCACTCTGTAAGTGCTAAGAGAAGCAGTGTGGTTTAGTGGGGAGCCAGTTGGCCCTGAAATATTGAAGACCTAGGTTCAATGTCCTAGATCTCTTACGTGCTAACTATGTGGTCCCAACCTTTCAGTGCTCTGAGAGACAACTCTTGGAAGATTGTAAATTGCAGAGAAAATGCTAACCTGCATTATTTGAGGGAGTCCCCTTACTTGGAAGTTCCAATATAGCAATGAAATCAAAGGTCTAAATCTTGTCCCTATTAGCTATTGTGTTGGGCTGCTTCTCACCTAAAGTCTCCCACCACCTGGGTCTAGGAAGCCCTGAAAAGCTAAATATTACTGAGCTTCTCCAGATGGATGCATCTTATTTGAAAGGTAGTGGAAGATGTGTCAGTGTGTATCCTTTATTTACTCGCTTAGATATTTGGGGATTAACCCAGCCTTTTAAAATTAGCAATCTGGGAAAAAGAGTAATTAACTATAGTTATCGTTATAGAAACTAAGCACTGTGAGAGAAACTATAAGCTACCATGTGAATAACCAAGTTTTGAGTTGTCAGAAAATATTCAGAGCTTTTCCTGAAAATAGAGAAAAGTTACAGTCTTTAACATGTGCAAACTTTTTTTTTTTTTTACTGGGTATTAGAAAAAAAGATCTGGGTATTAAGTCTTCTTTTGACTGCATAACTATTAATGAAAAAAATAAAATTATACTGTGCAAAAATCCAATTCCAAAATAATTTCAACAGACAGCTGCAAGTAATGAGAGCAAAAGATATGGAGATCAACGACCAAGGGTGGAGGCATACCTCCACCACAATCTTTGTGTCTCTCCCTGGGTAAGTCTCAGAACCTCAATCTCCTCATCTTAGTAATTGTGCTCACATTATTTACTAGCTTGGGGACTGACACCTTATAGGGTTGATATGAGGATAACTCATTGTAAAACTCAAAACACTGCATAAATGTGAGCTATTATGATCAAATAAAATAATCTATACAAAGTACATAGATTTTAGGGGGATGTTTTTATGGAATATTTTTATGGATAAGGGCAATCGTATTTAGTGAAGAAAAGTTTTCTACCATCTTTATCAATAGAGATTTGGTCAGTGGTCAAATAAATTATCTCCACTTGTTATGACAAAAACAATTTAATATTTCTAAAACAGGTCTGACCATGTCATTTCACTGCTTAAGTGACAGGGAGTGTCCCTGAGACACGTGCAGCCCTCCATCTGGCTCCCACATACCTCTCTGGACTTACCTATATTATTTCCCTTTTTGCACTCTCTATTTCAACCAAACTTACCTTTTAGCTCTTCCCTTCCCCACCTCTACTGAAGCTTGTTAGAATCTTAAGCTTCCTTAAAGACTCAGCTCAGGTGCTGCTTCCTTTAAGACGTACTTCCATGATCCTGCTTCCCACTCCCAACGTAGTTATTACACTCTCTCTTTCCTTGAATTAGCCTTGTATTTAATTTCTGGTGTACGTGCGTGCATTTTCGTAGTAGAAAGTAAGCTTCTTGAGAGCTAAGGATGTATTATTTAAGGGGGTGATTTGTGAAAATATACACAAGGAAGCAGTGATAACTAAATAAGGGCCCCAAAATGATTAATCAAGAGTAGATTAACAACAAGGCAGTCAAAATAGCTAATGTGATCTTAGGCTTGGCCTTTTATACATCAGCTTCATGCTCAAGATTAGAACAAAATGAAAAAAAAATTGCAGCCTACCTAGCTAACAAAAAGTGAATGAATGAATTTTCAAAAGCATTTATTAAATGCTTACTAGATATCTGACACTATGCTAAGAGTTAGGAATATATATTTTATTGTTTTATTTTTTTTTAATTGAACTTTCATTTTACTGGTGCGGATTGTGCAAGAAAGACAGGCTTCACTCTTCAGGAGCTTCCATTCTAATGAGGAAGACAACACATAGAGGGAAGCTAGAATTTGAAGTGAGGAAGTAGTAAGTTATCCAAGGATACATATGTTTGAAGCTGGGGTGGTATGGTTGCCTGGATCCAGGCGAGTAAAGGTGAACATTACTTATAGACCAAGTTCCCAGGGTTGGACTCTGAGATCCAGTGTGATGAAGAAGAGGGTAGGAGTTCAGGTATCAAGAAGCAGAGAGGGGAGAAATTTTAAAAAATGTTTATTTAATAGTAGCATAGAAAATATATTCAGCAGGAATATAGTCCTCGTTCAGGTAGATTCAGCTCTCCTCATCTCCATTTGGAAACATGTCTGGCTGGAAGGGTGTTTTGATTCCCAGATCAATAGGGCAATATCTTAAGTGTGATGGGCACTTTCTTGTTATGAACTGGGCTTTGTAAACCTTAAAACAGTAAAGCAAAATCAACTGCTCAAGCCCTGCTTCCTTGGACCCATCAAATCTTTGGGATGGCTGTATCGACTTTTAGTGGGAGGGGAAAAATTAAATTAGCTCAACCAACATGTCAGGGACACTACTATATGTATACTTTTCCTACCATAAGCAAAAGTTAAAATATATATATATATATATATTATATATATATATAGTATACTTTTTCAACGTTTCAAATTACTTGGGTTGAATTTTTCTTAAAGCCAGAGCAGGTCAGAATTTTATTTCAATTGTATATAGGTATTTATAATGATAAGCACTGAGAGCAAATGTAAATTTTACAAATGGCAATAAATTGCTCTATAGTAAATATTTTGAAATTCTTACAAAGCATGGACAGACATATTATACTAAAATACTCATTGCATTTATATGATTTTATTATTTTGTGTATAGTTCTAAATGATGAGAGTACAATCTGTTCTGTAACTTTGTAGTCTGTTATTTTATTATAGGACACCTTTGCACCTGGCTTGTGCTAATGGATATCCAGATGTTGTGTCCCTCTTAGTGGCGAGAAAATGCAAATTAAATATCCGAGACAGTGAAAATAGATCTCCTTTGATTAAGGTGTGTATGAATTATGTTTAACTATGAACTGTATCCAATTTAGGTATCATTCAAACTTAAATCTTTAGCATATAGAGTCAAGTTGCAGAACTCATAATCTCTTCATGTTGTATTGACAGGCAGTACAATGTCAGCAGGAAAAATGTGCAACTATTCTTCTAGATAATAAAGCAGAAACCAATCTTATGGATATCAACAAAAACACTGCCCTTCACTATGCTGCTTGTGGGCATAATGTGTCATTAGTGAATAAACTGATTGAACATAAAGCCGACATTGAAGCACAAAATAAGGTACCCTTTCATTAGGGAACAACAACAAAAAAACTTTCTTAATTTTTTTTTAAAATATTTACTTTGTAATCATAGTTATATAGATTTTAAGACAGATTGGACCTTAGAGGGCAACTAGTCCATCTCTCTCATATTACATATGGGAAAAAAAATACCTTATATTACATAGTGACCTTGCCTAAGGAACACAGGTAGTATGTAACAGCAAAATTGGAATCCAGATTCTCTGATTCCAAATCTTGGGTTTTTTCTTCTGTACTACCTAACTGTTCTGTTAAATGAGATGTGATAATATTCATTACAAACGGTTAACTTCTGTCAGTGATCTTTAGAAAGAGTTCATATATATTGAATTCATTCATTTAGAGAGGCTCATTTTATACTAATCCTCTAGAAACTTGATTGTGTTTTCAACCTGTTGTATTTAGGGACTGAGAATACCAAAAATGGAAGTCCTATGTGATATATAAGTAAATTATATTAACTTTTACTTATTTTTAAGGTTTTTGACTCCTTAAGTCCCTGCAGTTGTATCTAGAGCTTGAAGATTATCCCCAAGACCCAAGCCAAATCTAAAATTAATTATTAATGGATAGATTGTAAAAATCATAGAGGCAGCATTACCCACCTAGATGGTGACCTGAACTTCTAGCCAAGAAGAGATAGGTTTAAGTTTCCATGTGAAATACATACTGGCTGTGTGACTTTGGGCAATTTAACTTAATTTCCCAGTAATCTAGGTGCTTCTCCAAGACTTTAAGTTAAAGGAAAAAAAAATTATGTGTCAATCAAAAAAAAAAAGTGTTTCATAGCCAAACTATCTTTAAAAAAGTATTTGGTTGGTGGTTTTATATATACTAAGCGAAAATGATGGGGTTATAGGACCTGGACCCCAAAAAGCCCTAAGACCTTATCTCTGGAAGTAATCCAGCCCCTCCCTCACTGTGAGAAAATTTTACTTTGTTGCAGAACATGTGACCCTGTAACTCCTTTGTCAGAACAGACACAGGGAATACTGATCCAAGGGCTCTCTTTGGCTCCAGATCTCCGACCAACGCTTCTGGCAGCTAAACAAAAACTCATCTTTCCCGCAATGTCTGGTATCAACAAAGTTATCTCTGCAGGCTCCTGTATTTCCCCTCCACAGATTAGAAGTGTCTTCTCCCAAGGCACCAGGACCCCTGGCATATTCCTTTGGAGTCCCTAGGTTGCCTAATTAGCATCCTGGCCATTCCTTTTCTCTGTTCCTTTCCATATAAGTTCTAGCACCTCCTCATCAATTTGCAAGTTCCCCAAAGGAACTTTGCCTATTTTCTAGCATCGCAATAAAACTTTTCCACTTGACTGAAAGACAGCTCAGGTGTGTGAATTCATTCTAGGCAACCCCACTTTGTGCCCTGACATTCTTGTGATTCTTATCACCCCAACCTCATCACAAGTGACTTAAGTTTAAGGATGTGTAATCTCAACATACTTTCACGCAGACCCATGATTTCATACGCCATCAAAGGAAAGTACAACCCAGCACACTTAGTATGTGGCATTTATGTGTTTGTTGCTATCTGTGGCCAAACATTTTGTCATCTTATGCCTAACTTTTTGGTGAAGAGACTCTCTTTATTTAGGCTGATCTTTGAACAACAGACACATTTCATCTTTCCGGTGTGATAGCACTGTTATAGCTCATGCTGCTGTAGCAAAGCCAGAATTGTAACTAAGGTGGAACAGTGAGGGCTTTTCCACAGGGCATCAAAATTTAGAGGGCACTGACGATACATGTACTATTTCAGCAGGTAGAAACCAGGAATAGTTAATTAGTTAGTGAGAATAATTAAAGGGAACAATTAGTTTAAAAAATAGATGAAAGAAAGAAAGCTGTGAGATAGGACATGCATCTTCTTCTCATATCTCAGGCAACCTTCTATCCTGTCTAACCATACCTTGATCCCTTCCCCTAGCAACAGCCTCACTAGTAGATGCCTTGTTGGTATTCTAGTCACTTAGGAGGTGTCTCTGAGTCTTCTCATACATTCTGAGCTTTAGAATATCTCTACTGTCCCTTCTCTATTCAACTAAATGTGTCTTATGGTCAGGATACAAGGACCTGGCACCCCTCCCTGAGACTACAGAACATTTCACAGAGTGTGAACATCAGAAAGCTATGCTCAGCTGAATAATTGCATTATACTGAATAAACATCCCTTCTCTATTCTGGATATCCTTTCTCTGCCATGGCTAAGTAAACTGTTAGCTGGATTATGAGTGTCTTATTTCAATCCAGTTTCAGACCTACATTAGCAAGGGAGCATCTGTCATCAGGCCCAGTTTATTAAATGGCATTTGATTCAAACTTTTGTGGAGGCATTATGGCAATTATGACATTTTGTGTTAAGTGTTTTAAAATGTTTTTGCAGAATGGGCACACACCACTTCTACTTGCTGTTACTGAAAATAACCCAGAAATGGTGGCCACTCTCTTGAAGAAAGGAGCAGATGTGAATGCTTCAGATAAGTTACAGAGGTAATTTTGTTGAAGTTAAATGAAATAGCTGGGAGCCACTGGCACTTGAACTGTGATTTTTTTTGCTTCTTCTTCCATATTGTGAATAATTCTCTTTGGGCAACACAGCGCCAACGCATATTTATTTCTTAATCCTGCTTCCTTTGCTCATGTGCTGCAGCCCCTCATTCTCTCCAAGTAAGCAGAGAGAAAAAGGAAAGAAAAGACTAGGAAGAGCAAGAGATAGGGGAACAAGTTCTGTTTTTCTCTATATAAAATTGTAGAAAATCCCTAAAGAAGTTATCTTTCTTATTCCAGAACGGCCCTTATGCTTGCTGTTGGTGGTGAACCGATTGGTATAGTCAGTCTTCTCCTACAACATGATGTTGACCTGTCTCGCCAAGATATTTATGGATTGACAGCTGAGGAATACGCTACTTGTAGTGGTTATTCAATGTTAGTGTGCTAATGCTTCAAAACCCTAATCATCTTTTATAGTCTATTATTTATAACCAATTATAATTTAATCTTTTATAATTTGTTATTATAATCCATAGATTTAAAGTAGATTTTATTTACTGTGTTCACTAAATCTTGTGTGAACATCAGATTTTTCTGGTAAACATATCTGATGTTGAAAATGCCATCAAATTAGTAGGAATTAAAGGCAATAAAACATAAAGATTAAGAATTCAGAGACAGAGCTTTTATATATTAGTCTGTATAATCAGTGTTGGCAAAGAAAGCTAAGTTAGAAATTTTAGGGGCAGGTGGATTAGCATCATTAACAGCCAATGATGTTGTGTTAGATGCTCTGTGGAACTGACTGAAGAAGACTTACATTCAGGTCTTGGATTATCATTTTGCCTTACATATTCCTGACAGTTGCTTGGGGCTTAAAAATCTTTAAGAATGAATGGTCTTGGATACAATGAATCTTTAAGATATTCATTTGCCAGAAAACCCATTTTGAGGAATTAATTAATTCCTTATAGAAGTAACTTCTAGCTACTTTCGACAGAGATGTTTATTATCACTATGATTGTAAATGTTAATTATATTGATGTAGTGCTCTCCCACCCCCCACAATTCACAAAGATAGGTAGCAATTTGCAATGATCAGTACTCATAGCAAGTCTGGCAGATACCATTTTTAGAGTAATTATTCCCCTAAAAAATAACTCCATTAATGAAATTAGATAAAGAATGACAATAGAGGACAGCATGGTATAATGGATAGAGAGCTGGGCTTGGAGTCAGGAATACATGGATTGAAGTCTTGCTTCTGATACATACTGGCTATGTAAAGCCTGGACAAGTTACTTAGTGCTCCAGGCAGTTCTCTTAAGTCTGTAAGTTGCAAAATGGATGCTGATCTCCTTGGTAATAATGAAACTAGCTAGCATTAATATAGCATCTACTATGTTCCAGGCAATGTGTTAAGATCTTATTTGATCCTTACAACAACCGTGGGAGATAGGTGCTATTGTTTTCCCCATTTTTGGTTGAGAAAACTGAAGTTAAGTGACTTACCCAGCATCATACAGCTAGTGTATGAGGCTGGATTTGAACTTAAGCCTTCCTGACTCCAGGCCCAACACTCTATTCACTGTGTCACCTAGCAGGCCCAACTTTCTTAAAGATCTACTGTCTACTTCTTGAAATCCTTTCCAGATCCCTTGGGATAGAATGATCTTTGAAACTCCACATATTACTTTGATTATACATTCCTTATATACTCATGATGTATTATAGTTATTTATCTTTGAGTCACATATGCTTACTGGACTGAATGTTTCATGAAAGCAGGGCTACACCTCTTTATTTTCTCTAGCCTGGCATATCATTCTGGACAAAGTAAGCAGTTTGTAAATGTTTGTGAAAATGGCATAATCAGGAATCTTCCATTTCTTCATCTTTCCTCTTCCCTTCTCTCTCCTTTCCCCTCTTACTTCTTTCCTCTTCCTTCTTCTCTCCCCTTCCCTTTCCATCCCTCTTCACCTCCCCATGAAGGTGGTAGGACTTTTGATATTTATAGGGCATTGGTGTCTCTGAGCTTTTAATCTGAGAATTAGACAGTATTAATCATTAATTAATTTGTATGAAGGTCAACATGTTCTTATAAATTTTCTTTGTTTTTGTGAATAGTCATCATGAACTAATTTCTCAATATAAAATTCAGAAGAACCTTAACAAACCCATTTTTCCTGAAACGAGGTATCCAGAGAGGATTTCTGCTATTAAGTTTTCTTAAGTGGTTCTACCACAATCAAAGGAGGTAAGATTAATATGGATGAAGCGGTTTAATTTTTTAGGAAATGAAATTAGGTTTTACATTAGCATATATTTTTTGAAATTACGTTCCCTCCTCTGTGTTTTGAAAGAAAGAGAAAGTTGGTCCTTTTTGCACCATCATTTTAAGGTAAAGTTCTTCATAATCATTCTCAATGAAATTTTCTGACATTTGAAAACAATGTAAAGAATGTATGTCAAATTACTTTCCTGTTTATTTAGTTTTTAAAAGTATAATAATTCCTTAGATGTATATGCTTCAGCATTTCAAATGACTCAGGACTTCATCAATGTGGGTACTTTTTTCATGCCCTAAGGAGATGGTTTTATGTGTTGTTTTTATGTGTCATCTCTCATTAGTCAGCCTCTGATTATAAGCCTTTCTAAATTGAATTGTTTGTCTTCTGACTATTGGGCCCATAGCTTGCTTGGGCATACTTGCCAGAGCAAGGTAACCTTCAAGTGCTGTAGAAGGATAAGAGTAGGAGTTTAATAGAATTGCCTTCCTATAAGTTGTTTAATTTTGAAATTTTCGAAGTGATTTTACAAATATCATTCATTTGCATGTTCATTCACCTAATATTTGCTGATGCTTATTATATTATTCTATTTAGTATTTGCCATTTCATTTGATATCTTATTTTCGTGGTTTGTCATAGCCAAAGAATTAGTACCCTCGTAGCCTAATACTTCCTTTCTTGGAAGGACTGAATATTTTAACGACAATATAAATGTAAATCCTAAATTTAAGGGATCTTCCTTCACATTCCCTGAGATTTTTTTTTAACCTAAGAGAATTTTCCAAATTTTTATGGCTAATTGACAAGAAAATAGGAAAGAAACATTAAGTTTTTTTAAAATAACTTTTCTTCACTCAAGAATATATCTGAGTTTACTAATCTTCTTTCTGAAGATTAAAATGCCCAAAAGCCTTCTCTGTTTTTGCATTAATAAGCTTCCATTCATAAATCATTAGAATGTTAAATTACCTCACTGAACTTTCATCATATAATACATACCCCAATGATGCCAAAAGCAGGGCAAAAAAAAGTTAAATGCCACTTTATTTTATCCTTAACCATCTATGTTTATGTGTATGTATAAATATATACATTCACAAACATGTTAATGGCTTGACAATGATTTTTTAATTTTAGTTGTGTATGTATATTTGTATTTCTGATATATTGAAATTTGCTTTCAAGAAAAGGCAACTTAGTGTTTAAATATTTATAAATAGTAACATAGAGATTAACATGAACAAAATCATGGATTAGATACCAATAAAACTGGAAATGATTTTTTCTCTGACATTTTAAATATTTCATGATGCAAAACTTGAGTTCCCAAGGGTTCTTTGTTAGAGATGAATACTTTTATTTATATTTCCACTAATATTTCATGTTGTATATTTGTTTTTAAAATGTCATGAATAACATGTGAATAATGTCTTAGGTTCAAGAAAACTGTCCTGAAGATAGCACAACTGTTGAAGAATAAAAATAACTTTCCTGTCCGATTTTCATTTTTTAAAAGCAAATTTTGGAGTATACATTCTAACCAAACTTGCTGTGACTAGGAAGGCAAGTATCTTGCTTTCTTCTCCTAATTTGCCTGGGACTGCCTGGAAAAGCAGCTTTCAAGGCCTTATCAGATTGCTGACTTTGGTTAATCAGCTGGTTTACATCAGAAATTGTATCTTTAGAAGTTCAAAACGATATTGGCCCCGCCTCTGTCTAGAGTGCTAAGGTCTTTCAGTAAATCTTTTAGGAAGTTCTCCTTCGTGAAGAAAGACAGTTTCATATCCTCAGGTGTTCTAGGCTCTTGATAATAGTAATTTTAGCTTTCTTTAGTTTAGATAAGAGAATTTTATTTGACTTTTAGCAGAACTTTTTACTGTTTCATCTTTTATGTTCTTTTTGTGGCATTTCATCTTCTTTCATTTATTTCAGCTCTAGTATTTTATTTTAAAATTCTAGGAGGCAAGGACAAAGCATAAAAGTAGGAAGGTCAGCTTTTCTGGGTGGCCAACATCCCAAACAAGAGAAATTAGGTGTCATTTTCTTTCTGGTTCAGTGTTACTGAAGTTCTTTTAATTTTCTTAAATAGATCTTTCTTTCCAGGCACATACAGACCTCTGTTTTTTTTGAAGGACTGCTACATTATTTTACCTGGCTCTTATTAGGCAGGGGTAGGGTTAAGAATGAGGTAGCTTTGTTTCATTTTTTAAAACTGCTATATCATTTCCCTGTAAATTGAACATAGAATGGAATTATCAGAAGGGCCAGGGAAATTATATATAGTCTCTGATCTACCTTAATGATAAACTAGAAACTGGGGGGGGGGGAATGGAATTTTGTGGGAGGACTACAAGGGGAGCACAGGATAGAATGCAATGGAATGATATGCTTGGCCTGAGAGCCTGACTAGAAATAACAATGAATGTTCACTGAAGGGAATGATAGCATATCATTCAGTTAGTCAACAAACATTTATTAGCTTACTATACATGATTCTGGGTTTGATTGACTTCCAAAAATATATGTAGCAAGTATGCTCTGGCTTATTCTCCCAGAACTAGCTAGGCTACATCTAGAGTACCCTGAGCAGTGTGTGGGATATTTCTTCTCCGCTGCCATTGGCTTGAGTTCCCACTGGTGGTATTTTACCCACTGATAATTGCTACCAGGTTGCCTCCATTCCATTTAATTAATTAACATTGTTTAGCTTTTCCAGAGGGATATTTACTTGAAAGACGTGAAAGTGGGGCAGCTAGGTGGTACAGTGGATAGAGCAACAGCCCTGGAATCAGGAGGACCTGAGTTCAAATCCAGCCTCAGATCAAACACTTGACACTTACTAGCTGTGTGACCCTGGGGAAGTTACTTAACCCCAACTGCCTAAAAAATAAAATAAAAATGTAATAATAAAAGTACAAATGCTTTTCTCCAATACCCTGAGGACACACTCTGAGGTTAGTTTCTATGAAGCATTGGTCCCAACAAAGTTACATTCACATACGTTTGAGTACCTGCTGAGTCCAGAGTTTAACTTCTATTGATCTGGGTCTAGAAGGTAACTCCTGAAAGTTACTCCTTGCTCTTCTGGTCATCTGTATTAGGCTGGCTACAAAAATATGGTCTGGACTCTAACTCCCAGATTTCTGTGTCTCACTCCCCTGATTGCCAGATTAGTCTCCCTCTCCTAAAAGGGAAGAGAAAAAATGTAGAGGTTGTGGACCAAGGTCCTTTACAGAGCCACATGGCCACAAAGGGAGGGACATCCTAAGGCCTTTCTCTTTATAGCATTGTCTTTCACTAGATACTAGGAGTGAGGGATTCATCAAGATCCCCTGACAACATTGAGATGAAAAGATTGGAGTGAAGCTGACTTTTTGAAGAAGCCCCAAGTTTCAGTTATACAGCCAATCAAAACAAAACAACACAATAAGACTTCCATAGTATGTGGTTAGCAGGCTGTAACCAGTTAAAGAATGTCCTGCATTTCATAGTCTTTAGAAGGCACTTGCATTACATCACCAGAACTACCAGTATCTCCTTGTGAAGAAGTTGCATTAACTAAGCAAACTGATGGGAGTGTTTGCAGGTTACCAGACCCTTAATACAATTATCTCTTCCGCATTGCAACTTTCTCATCATGGTTTTGATATATTGTGGGTCGGCATAAGAAATTAAATTAAATGGGAATTTTGGGGGAGTTTTGTGGAAGCTGCAGAAGACATGCAAATGCCAGCAGATGACACAGAGCCTATGACCATTTGGTTAACCAAATTTTTACAATAATACAATAATAAAATTTGGTTAACCCAAATTTTACAATAAGGTACTATAAACACCCCATAAGAGAAAAAGAAAAAATTCAGGCTTCTTCTCTGGTACAAAGTGAGGGCCATTTTTACATGGATTTTCTATGTCGCAGGTGTGCTGCCTCCTAACCACTCTGATGTGGAAGGAATAACTGTATACTGATAAGGTACTGATTGGTTTTTCTGGAATGAGTTTTATCACCCAGGACTTCACTATACCAATGAAATCACGGGTCTAGTCCTTATCCTAACACAGAAAATTTGTAAGGAATTGGTGCTTGTGTGAGAGTAAGAACCATTCTATAATAGAAAACTGTAGGTTAGGAACAAGTACTATTCTAAAGAAATGAAAATTGACAACCACATAAAAAGTTTAAAATCTCTAATGACCACAGAAATTCAAATAAAAACAACTCCAAGATGCTATTTAACACCCATCAAATTGTCAGATATTAAAATATGACAACATTAATTTTGGTGTGGCTGTGGTACTGGAGGAGTTAGCAGGGGTAAGGAACCTGAGGCCTTGAGGCCACATGTGGCCCTCTAGGTCCTCAAGTGTGGCCTTGAGGCTGCAGGTTCTTTACCTCTGAGTTAGGGTTTGATGCCACCTTTTGAGAAAAAAATATGAAATAATTCATTGACATGCACAATTATAGAAGTACATTCTTTCTTTCAGTTGTCCCACTGCTTGGACTTGTACCTTTATGGAATTTGTTATCAGGAAGGAAAGAGCAGTCAACACAAAAATATTCTTAGAAACACTATTTGTGAGAGTTAAAAAACAAAAACAAACCCCAAATGGGAAACAAATGGCATGCAATAATTGCATAAGAACATAATGAAATATGATTTTATTATAATAACAAATGTGAAGGATTCTTTAAAATGTGGTAAGATTTAGATTTTTTTCCCAGTCCTTACCTTCCTTGACCTCACTGAAGCTTTTGATGCCTCTGCCCTAGCTGTCCTCCATATCTGGAATGCACTCATGCTTTACCCCTCCCTTATACAATCCATTTCTTCCTTGAAGACTCAATAACAAACATTAAACACTATGTAGCAGGCACTGTGCTAAATGCTAGAGATACAAAAGAAGAGGCAAAAGACAGTCCCTGCCTGGAAGGAGTTTACAATCAAATGGGGGAGACAACATGCAAAGAAATATATACAAAGTAAGCTATATATATATAGGATATATAGGAAATAATTCACATAAAGGAGGCTTTGGGATTAAGAAGGATTAGGGAAGGCTTCCTGTAGAAGGTAGGTTTTAAAGGAAGCCAAGAAGGTCAATAGTGAGAAGGGAGGAAGGAGATTCTAGGTGTGGAGGACAGTCAGTGAAAATGCCTGGAGCCAAAAGGTGGAGAGTCTTGTTTGTGGAATAGCCAGGAGGTCAGTGTCACTGGAATGAAGACTGTGTAAAACTAGAAAGGCAGAAGCAGGTTAGGTTATGAAGGGCTTTGAATGTCAGAGCATTTTGCATTTGCTGCTGGAGGCAGCCAATGGAGTTTATTGAGTTGGGGAGGGAGGAGAGAAAGGTGGGTGACATGACTGGACCTGTGTTTTAGGAAAATCACTTTAGTTGCTGAATGGAGAATGAAATGGAGTGAGGAGAGAATTGAAGCAGGCAGACCCACCAGCAGACTATTTGGATAATCAAAGAGTGAGGTGATGAGGGTGTGCTCTAAAGTGGTGGTAGTGTTGGAGAAGAGAAGGGGGCATATAATCTAAAGATGTTGCAAAAATGATGTCAGCAGGCCATAGCAATAGCTTGGATATGGGGGATGGAGTGAGGAATCCAGGATGACCCTCCCCACTCTTACATTCCCTGTCACTGTAGAGGGCAACAGCAACCTCCCAGTCCCTCAAGCTTGAAGGACTGGGAGCTTGCTGTGGGAGTGGGAGGGCTTAGGGGGAAAGATAATGAGTTCTGTTTTAGACATGGTAGATTTAAGATGTCTACTGCATATCCAGTTTAAGGGGTCTGAAAGGCAGTTGGAGATGTAAGATTGGAGGTCAACAGATTGGGGTAGATTAGGTAGATTTAAGAATCATCAATATACAGATGGTAATTAAAACCACAGGACCTAGTGAGATCACAAAGTGAAGTAGTATATAGAAGGAGAAAAAAGGGCACAGAACAGAACCCTGAGGGATATCTAGAATTAGAAAGTGTGATGTAAAGGAGGATCCAGCAAAGGAGACAGAGAAAGAGTGGATAGGAGGAGAACCAAAAGAGAGTGGTGTCCTGAAAACTTAGAACTGAGACTACCAAGAAGAGATCAGTATCAAAGGCAGCAGAGAGGTCAAGGAGAATGAAGATTGATTAAAGGTCACTGCATGTGTCAACTAAGAGATCATCAATAATTTTGGAGAGAGCAGTTTTCTGTGGAATGATAAAGTTGGAAGCTGGATTATAAGGAATTAAGAAGAGAATGAGAGGATAGAAAGCAGGGGCACTTATTGTAGAGAGCCTTTTGAAGGCGTTTAACTATAAAGGGCAGAAGAGAGAAAAAACAACAGAGGGGAATGGAAGGATCAAGTGAGGGGTTTTTCAAAATATGAGAGATGTGGGCATGTTTTTAGGCAGTAGGAATGAGTCAGTAGAGAGGGAGAGATTGAAAATAACTGAGTGGGGATGATGAGGGGCAATCTATTAGAGTAAGTGGGATGGAATGCGATTGCTTGAACAGGGCTAATAAGGAGTAAGTGTTGGTAAGGAGTAAGTACTATCATGTAGAAACACCTATTCATGATATCATTAGAAAGAACAGCTTAGCATCCACTTATATTTGGTAGATATTCTCCAACATTTAAATTTTAAAAAATGCTAAATTACACTATTTAAGAACATCTAGCTTCACTTATAGCTATGGCATATCATAGAAGTTTAGGCTCTTCAAGCATTCTAACTTTATTTAAACATGGGGGTCAGTTGGAAAGATTTTGCTGATCTGGGCCTAATTTTAATAAGTATCAATCAGTATTTTAATAAGTATTTTGTAAGTATAAGTTTTGGGCCATGACCCATGGCTCAAGAGTAGAGCATTTGACTTCAGATCAAAAGATCTCTGTTGTACATCCAGGTGCCCCACTCAGGAGCCTCACCTTTTGGAGACAAGGTAATTTAGTGAGTAGATAGATAACTAGACTTGTAATCAGGAAGATGGGTTCAAATCTTATTTCAGACACTTACAGATGTTTGACTCTGGGCAAGTCACTTAACCTTTCTGTGCCTCAATTTCTTCACCTGTAAACCAAGAAAGGGTAGGGCTTAATGACCTCCAA